AGTATTATGTGTGTCTAGACTGTAATCATGGCTTTTGGAATGTACCCCAGGGTGAATACGTGAAGCAGGAAGCAAAGCTGTTAGGGTTCATTGTAAGCGAGGAAGGCATCAAGCCGGACCCGAAGAAGGTGGCGGACCTGATGAGAGTGGAAGCTCCGTGAAACGTAAGAGAACTGAGGTCGTTCTTGGGTTCTGTGACTTACCTCAAGAGGCATATTCCATAGTTCGCGAGTAGAGTTGCTGGCATGATTGACTTGCTCAAAAAGAAGACTGAGTTTGTTTGGAGTGAGGCACGAGAGGAGGAGTTCCAGAGTATCAAGAAGTCGGTGGCCGAGTGTGTGTTGCTAGCCGCGCCGGCAGACATTGGAGAGTTCGTGCTAACGACGGACGCCAGTGATCGGGCGATAGGCGCCATGCTAGAGCAGAAGCAGGCTCGAGGGTGTGTTCCGATCGAGTTTGGTAGCAAGAAGTTGGACGGGTGTCAACAACGGTGGGATGCACGAGAAAGGGAGTTGTATGCGGTAAGGTTCTTCGTAGAGAGGTGGCAGGATTACTTTTGCGCTGCGCCGTTTACCATCAGGACTGATCACCAGAACCTGTTGTATTTGGCTAACTCTACCAAAGGAAAGCTAGCAAGGTGGTCGTTGTTCCTACAACAGTTCGACTTTAAGATAGAGTACCTGAAGGGCACCGAGAACGTGGTGGCTGACTGGTTGTCTAGAGCGAACTTACGAGAAGATGTCGGGGAGGACACGTTGGTGGATCGAATTCAGATGAATCCAGAGCTAAGGGTGGCGTACTGTGCGGAAGCCGAACAAGATGAGGGCTTGTCAGTACCACTTGTTGAAAGGTTGAAAAGATTAGCCAGAGAAGATGAAAACGTGCAGAAGCGCATCCACAAAGCACCGAGTGGGCTGTGGGTAAGGAATCGTACCGGCAGTGTGTATGTGCCGATGCAGTGTAGGAGAGACCTAATGGCGTACCATCATTACGGACGGGTTGGAGGACACCCGGGGGTAAGGAGGATGCTGAGGTTGGTGACCAAGTACTTCTGGTGGCCGGGCATAACGAAGGACGTAGAAGACTTCTGCCGAGACTGTCTACTTTGTCGTCGTTTGTTTAGCGCACCGGTGGCTGTGTCGAAGCCGGGGACTCTGGACAGAGACTGCTTCAATGAACTGGTTTCACTAGACTTGATTGGGCCGAGGACTGTGGCTGGAGAAGTGTACTATCTTGTAGTGATCATT